GATTAGGGCCGGGCGCGCGGGGGGGGGGGGGTCGAACAGGACGAGGTGCCGCACAGCCCAGCCATGTCGGGACCCAGCCGAGGGGACCGCGCTGCGCAGCAGCCAGGGCTTTGTTTCTAAGTGTGCACGCAAGCAGGCAGCGGGCAGGCGTGAGTGCTGGCAGTGGCCATCCTGGCCGGGGTCGCTCTCACCGTGCCGTCGCCGTAGCGCTCTGCAATGCGCGCGAGCTCGTTGAAGTCCTGCGTCTGCAGGCGGCCCGAGGGGATGCTGGCGCCCACCCAGAAGAGGCCGGGCTGCGGGGGGACGGTGGGCCGCAAAGGCGGGCGGGTGCGAGTTCGTCAGCGTGTGCGCCGCCGTTGGCCGGCGGAGGGTGCCGCCAGCGCTGCATTGTCTGCATCGCATGCGCCGCGTTTGCACGTCCCCAGCTGAACCCAGCTGGCCCCGGCTGGCTCCCGGCCGCCGCCGCGCACCTGCTTCTGGGGGTGCACCCCCAGCAGGTCGCGCCTCTCCCAGGGCTCATCGTGGGCCACGTGCACCGCCGGCCTGAAGCCCTCCACACCCATGAACTCAGCCACCTGCAGCAAGGAGGGGCGGACGGCAACACGGCAAAAGATTGTGGAGGCCTCAGTGGCAGGCTGAGGGCGTGACCAGCGTAGCCAGGAGAGCTGCAAGCCTCTGGACACCGAGTCTCGAGGCACCTCATGCGTATGCACAGGGGCAGCGGGCGGCGCACAAGTTTCCAGGGCGCAGGCCCCCAGTCTGAGGGGCCTTCCCACAAGGCTCAGCAGTGCGCACCTTGGCTATGAAGCCCTCAAAGCCCAGCTCCTCGATGCACCAGATCAGCCGCGTCTTCTGGCGGTCGGCACGGGGGCCGTAGTCCCTGCAGGGGTGCCCATGGCCCGTGCCGCCGCGGTGAGAGGTTTGAGCCCCCCCTTCACACTGATGACCACCGCTTTAGACAGCCCAAACGGCACCTGGCCTGCCGCGCCACTCCACAGTGTCACTAAACTCCTGGGCACACCGGCAGCGCCAGCCGGCGTCTGCGGGGCTGCGGGGCGGCGCCTCACAATCCCCCCTGTGTGCGTGGTGCGCCCCCACCTGAACACGCGCAGCACCGCCACTGTGAAGTCGACGACCTGGTCCTCGCTGACAGCCACCCCCAGGGGCAGGCTCATCATGTTGCGCTTGAGGGAGAAGTAGCCCCCCACCACGACGTTGAACAGCAGGCCGCCCGTGGCGGGGTCGACCACGGCCTCAAAGCCCAGGTCGTTGATCTGGGCACAGCGGGGTGCGATGGCAGGGCAGTTTGATTTGAAGAAGCGTCACATAAAGCGATTGCTGCTGCACAGCCAGTCAACCAAAAATCGCCACCGGCTCCGTGCTGCGTGGCACCCCAGCCGGTCGCTGGTGCAAGGCCAAGCTTGGGTCTGAGCACCACACGTGAGGCCAGGCAGCTGCCGCGCGAGCCACGTTGCACCCGTAGCCCCCCCACCTGTGTGTGTGGGAAGTCGTCGCGGCTGGGCGAGACGCAGACGTTGATCTTGCGGGGCATGTTGGCGAACTCCTCGTTGCCGCGGCCATCGTTGAACAGCACCGAGTTCATCTGGCGCAGCATCGGCCTGGGGGGCGGGGCGCAGGGGAGGGGGTGGATGGTGTGGGCTGGTGGCGCAGGAAGTTGCACCCCGGACAGGCCGTTCTGCCCCACAGCACCAGGGAGGGCAGGGCTGGCAGCGGCCCCCCCGGGCCACTACAGGCATCCCGTCCAAACCAGCCGCCCCCCGCGCCCTACCCTACCGCACCCGTGAACCCAAGACCCTCTGTCCTGCCACGGCCCCACCTGACATCGAACAGCTCGTGGGGGTCGATGCCCGCGATGGGGGAGCCGGTCAGATTGCGCACGCTGTCCATGCCAGCCTTTTGGGGGGTTGGGGCCGGGCGGAACAGGCGTCACAAATGGTGCCTGGGGCGTCAGCCACACCCACCACAAGCTCGACAGGCCCGCGGTCGATGCCGGCGGAACGATGCGGCGCGAATGCACCCCGCGCAGCATCAGAGTGCGGCGCGGCACCGCGCGCGGCGGCGCGCACCTGGAAGCTGCTCATGCCCCTCTCGATGAGGCCGGCCACAATCCTGTCGGCATCCTCCAGCTTGACACCGCGCAGCTGCGGTGGGAGGGGGGCGGGCACACGAGTATCTTATATGGATATACCGGCACATGGCAAACCAGCAGGTACACAGGGAGCGCGAAGCAGGCAACATGCAGGGAGGCACTGAGTGGTCGCAGCTCCCTCACCTGCAGGTTGGCGCGCGTGGTGATGTCGCCGCAGCCGTCCTCGCCGTAGGGCTCCAGCACAGAGGCCAGGTAGCGCAGCTGGTCGGAGGTCACCTCGCCGTTGGGCAGCTGCGCGGCCGCGGCGTTTGAATGATTCCAGGAAGAGTCAGCAGAGGACCCCCGCCCTTCGAGCCAGCCAAGCAACAATCAACCATACTCCACAGACCACCCCGCTTAACCCACAACAGTAGGGGCGCATATGTTTGTGCAGCCAGCCGCCGCAACATGCCCACGCATAGATGCCGCCTGTTTGCCGTCCGGGTTGCGGACCGGCGCGCACGCAGTCGACGCGCGTGCCTGCAAACACCGCATGCACGAACCCATGCACGCCGCCCACCTTGAGGCGCATCATGAAGCGCTTCGGCGTGCGCTTGCCGCGGTGGAACATGCCGGCAAACTTGAGGCGGATGTCCACATCATCCAGGTTCAGGTCCTCCCAGGTGGAGGTGCCCTCCCTGGGGGCGGGGCCGGCCAAAAAGGGGGTCGGTCAAACGCGGGGCCGGCGCCGCCAGCGGGCGCA